AGGACTGTTAAATATTTATTATTATTATTCAGGATTTATATAGTACCAACAGTTTGTGCAGCGCTTTCCAAAATAAAAGGTGCAAATACCAAAATACCATTTGATAAATGAGGGTAGGGAGGGCGGTGCTTACAAATCTTTGATACCCCTGGCTGTATCTCCCCCCAAAAGTTGATCTTAATTTATAAGAAGATGATGTTGGGGAGTGTTTGTCAATTAAGATCTGATAGGTGTATGAAAGTGGAAACATTCACACTACAAAGGCCACAGAGACAGGCCAGAGCCATAAAGATAACATCAGCTCTCTGGTCAGCCAACCTGACAGGAAAGTATTTCAATAATAGACATGAATGTATTGCATTGTAAGGGTTAAGTGCTCGTTTTCATCTAGTGGTGAAAATAAAAAAGATTACCTGAACCGGTTCCGGGAGCTTGTCTCCTCCATACAGTATGTGTGTATGTATATGTGAATATATATGTGTGTGGGTATATATATATATATATATGTGTGTGGGTATATATATATATACCCACACACACATATATATTCACATATTCATACACTATATATATAACGCATCACCTTTCAACATCTCGTGGAGTCACAAGGCGGCCCAACGAAGTCATCTCGTGGCCCAACGAAGTACTGCTGGGGTGGTCATAATAATCTGGCCACTCAGTGTATATTACGGCCAGGAGGTTACCTTTTTTTTTTCTCCATACTGCTGGCTATGTAATAGAAGTGATTCATTTGCTGATCTCTCCTGTGAAGTAGAATGCTGGAAGTGCACAACGCTGAGCCCTAAACAGCACCTAAACAAAAATGAGCACTTAAGCCTTGCATTGTGAGGGTAGCTCCACTGCAAGGGTTAGGAACACTTTTACCTGGCGTTCTGCCTTAAGTACAAAAAGTACTTGTCACTTCCTGTGAGATTACCTGGAAGCATAAAACAATTTTCTCTTCCTTCTTCCCTCCCCACCCCCCATGTAATGATGACCAAAAATATAAAATCTGTTGATCTGCGCTTATAGATAGTGAAAGACTAATATGGGTAATGAAGCTGCCACAATACAGACCTATAAGTCCCAAGAATATAAATAACTATTAAGCGCTGCATAATCGTTAATTATAATGATGACCAAAAGCAGACGTCTTTGAAGTCAAAACTGGCTGGCAACTATTGCTCCCTTCATAGATACAGTAGAGTAGTGAACGTAGCCACCCCAGGACAGGAAGTGTGTTTATTTGCAAGATATCGTTCATTAATGAAAGAAAGAAGCTTTTACAAAACTTAACTATTGCATTAACGAATGCCTCAATACTGACCCACCCATCCATTAATGAATGGTAACCGCTGAGAATCAGCGGTTACCGGCATTACAGAGCCTTAAATAACTCGTCATGTACAGTGTACGTGGCCAGTCATATAGGCACTTCGTGGCGGGACGTACAGTGTATGTCTCCCACCACGAAGGGGTTACATACACTTTAAATTAGATTTCTAAATCAAATAGTTTTTTTGCTGCCTCATAGTAAGATAGAGGAAACCCTGCCACTCACAGCTCCATTCTTATGGTGATTTTAAGAAAAACTGTAGTGAAGGAAATGAGCACACTGCCAATGCTGATCTTCCCCTGAAAATACTCATGGTCTGGCTGTCTCTGGCTTGAAGAAAGAAAGTAGCAGAGTAGGTCAGAGCCAAGTGTAAGGGGAAATCAATATCTCACATAAGCCTCCTTTTACTATTGCATGACTGTAGTAACTGGTTTTTTTTTTTTTTTTTTTTTTTACAGGTGTTGATTTTAAAATCAAAACTGTGGAGTTAAGAGGAAAGAAAATCAGGTTACAAATATGGTAAGTGTGTCCTGTCATGTTTTATCAGATGATTTTTACATTGGGCTCATTGAGGCTCCTCGTCTCCTGCTCCTGATGATCCTCTGCTGGCCGCATTTGGGGTGCCATTAACAAGTAAAGGCACTGCAAGCGCAACGCACATTTTGACGTATTCCATAAACACGCGTCAAAGCAGGCAGATGACACACAAAGGTGTGAATGGGGACTTGGTGAGAAGTAGTCCTGGAGAGCAGTAAAAACCCTATAGAGATTCTAACCCTCCCCTCTGTATACAGAACTAAAAGATTAACAGGTTTATTCACAAAAGGGTGAAGAGTTTGGAGAAGGCAGGAGAAATGAACAATCTAGGACAACATAGCTGAACTGGAAAGTGAGCTGAATTGGAGAATTTTTCCAGTTCAGCTATGTTGTCCTGGATTGTTCATTTCTCCTGCCTTCTCCAAACTCTTCACCCTTTTGTGAATAACCCTTTAAGTTTAGACTGCACTGCCTACTTTTAAATGTGTGCGTATATAAGGTCAGTCCTTTTTTATTTGTAAAGCTGGATTATATTTCTTTTGTTTTTCTAATTAGTATTCATATTGATTATTTTCCCCATCATATGTTTTATATATTTAGCTGGCCCCTGTGGGTATTTCTCTCTCTCTCTCTCTCTCTCTCTCTCTCTCTCTCTCTCTCTCTCTCTCTCTCACTTGTTCTGGTGTAGCTTTATTTGTAACACGTCATATGAGCAGTCTCAGATGCAGTGTTTAAATTCCTGTAGTAAATTGAAGTCATGTGTTGGTATCAGTTACAAGTCATTGTAGTGGCCGTTCTTGTAAACATAACTTATTTACTGTGTAGGGTAAGATATAACCAGTGAGCAGAGCACAAGCTAATCTTTTTCTGGTGTTGTAGGAAAGACCTCGGCATACCTTTTTAGATGTGCATGCTCCTTTCTGCCAGCCATCCATGAGCTAGGTGATACAACATAAAGATCTGAAGTGATGCTTTATTTAAAATGCAGAGAATTTGATGTATATAAATGAATAGGACAGTGATGGCTAACGTTTTTGAGCCCGAGTGCCCAAACTGCGACGAAAATCAATTTATTTATCTCAAAGTGCCAGCACATAAAATACGTTTTTGGTATCGTGTTCTAGTTTGGGCACTGGGGTTTAAAAAAAACATTCAGCAACACTGCCTTAGGCAAAATAGGGAAACACATATTCAAACATTAAAATTTTTCTTTATTCCTTCTTTTTTTTACTTTTTGTATCATTTTATTTTTTTAACTTTTTTACATTTTTATTTTACTTAATTTTTTTATCATTTTGATTGATTTTATTATTTTTTATCACTTTTTTTATTTTTACTTTTTTACATTTTTTTATTTTTCTTTTCACTTAACATTATAGCTCTTACGCAGGGGATAACAAGCCCCTGTATGATAGCATTTGGATGTGACAGGTTGTCTTTATTGAACCTGTCGCCTCCAATACAGGGGTTCTAGCACAGTAATGTGCTGGCTCTCCTGTGACAGCTGAGATTGGAAGGCTGCGAGTGCAGCTCTCCCATGTCAGTGTTTACACAGAGCAGAGTGGAGAATGGAGTCCATCCTGAACTTTACCATGGTCCCGGGTCCCCCAGAAGAGCGGGGGCCCTCTAAAACCACAGCGGGGAGAGAGGCAGCCAGCAGGGAGAGAGGCGGCCAACGGTGGGGGCAGAACATACTGGGGGCGGGGACCCCAGCATGCTTATTACAAGTAATCTCAGCAGCAACACCGGAAACACTTGTATTGAAAGACTGGCTTCCACGTTCTACATTTAGCCTTGATTCCTTGAAGCAGGGCTAAATGTAGAAAAAAATTCCCGCGGGAGACTGGAACTGCATGTCCCAGGCGTCAGACAATAGGATTTCTACACCACTGCCTAGGCTCATGTGCCACCAGAGGGGCCTCTGTGTGCCCCCTGTGGCACGCGTGTTATAGGTTCACCACCACTGGAATAGGACATTGAAGGAAATCAGTGCTGCCATTACCTTTTGAAGTACAGCTGTCAAATCACATAAGAAAAGAAAAATGAAAATTATATTTTGCAAACTTACTTACCTTCTTTAACCCCTTCCCGACCTATGATGAGATTATCCTGTCACAATCGTTCAGTTTGTTAACGACTGTTGATGGGATAATCCTGACATGAGGTACAATGAGCGCTGGTCTGTGAAGGGACCAGCCCTCATTGAGTTATTGCTGTTGATGGGTCCCTCAGGGTCCGAGGCGGACCCTCAACAACAGATTAGGTGGGCACAGTCCTGCAAAAGCTGATCGCTGTGATCGCAGAGCCATGGCGGTCAGAGCCGGAAGCAGCTCACTGTGTTGTGACTCTGCTAGCCGGCTGTATGTTACAAACCGATACAAAGTATCTCTGAGGAGAATAATGTATTCTACTCAGATATTAAGTACCAAAGCCCCTGTAAATAAAAAGAATAACCCCTTAGTGCACCCTAGTGTTTAAAAAAGGGAACTTGTTGTTTTAAAACTAAAGCAGTTAGAGAAATGTTGACACTTTTCATGTTTTTTTTTTATTTTTTATTCACTCCAAATGAATGAGCCAAATAATTTTGGCTCATTCACTCCTTTTCATAAAAACATTCATCTATCACTTTTCAGTTCCAGGCAATTCATTTTGGACAGATAAGGGGAAGAGGTGGATGTGCGGTCTGGTTTTTATTGAGATAGATGTATATATATCTATCACACACACACACACTGTCTCCTTCAACACTTAGTATGAAAAAAAGAGGTCTTAGCTGCACCGTTGGGTGTGCACTGTTCTGTACTGAGTATGGACGACAGTGCGGCACAGGATGTTCGCTTTTTAGTGTTGTCTATGACCTCTTGGCTCACTTCTGATCCAGTGACATTAAACATCGGTAGCCTTCCCTCACTCTACTAGAATATTTTTATTGCTGTGTCCCTGTTTGGAGTAATTTTACCTCCCTTCAGGCCCTAGTCACTATGTCACCAGGACAAGAAAATCTCTGCAAGGATGCCACAGATGGTTCTCACCCTTACCTACCCTATCTGAAACGACTGTAATATATACACTGAGTGGCCAGATTATTATGACCACCTGACGTTTGTAGGCAAATTAGCTATAATTAGCTATAATTTCGCGCTGAAGTTGCTAGAGGGCCAGACCATTATAAATAGGGAAGCAGGTTGTTTACCACGACAGTAGAAGTGATTTTTTTTTTGAAGATACGGGTAAACAACGCAATTTAACAGCCTTTGAACGTGGGATGATTGTTGGCGCTCGGAGCCATGGAGCGAGTATCAGCAAAACAGCAGAAGCAGAGCAGTTGTTAAAGTGTTTAAAGACTGGACTGTCAGCCGAAAATCTGGGTCTGAACGTGCGAATTGTGGCTGTCAGCGATAAGTCAATGTTAGGGCAGAACGGAGAGTGGTAAGACTGGTACAAGACAACAGAAGGGCAACAGTGCAGTGTCAGATTCCTCACATCACCTTTCAACATCTCGTGGAGTCACGAGGTGGCCCAACTAAGTCATCTCGTGGAGTCATCTCGTGGGCCCAACGAAGTACTGATGGGGTGGTCATAATAATCTGGCCACTCAGTGTATATTGGCTGCAATTCTACTTTAACTGTTATTGATACTTAGAATAGAAGATTTTTAAATCCACCACATAAGTCAGTCTGCATTATTGTCAGCAAAGAACTGCATAAACCTAGGCTGATTGCACACTGGCGATCCTGTTGCTGAAGAGAACTCGCCAACAACAGATCAATAGAATATGCAGGGAGAACACTCTCCTGCTCGTATGTGTGGCTCCCTTGCTGGCAGGACGCAAGTGACACCTCACATACAAATAGGTGAGCTTTTCACTTCCCCGTTGTTTCCTCCATAGCGATTCGGCTGGTGGTGCGTTCACACCAGCAGTTGGATCACAAGTTGCATCCTAGTTGGTAGGTATGATTAAGCTCCCTTTAGCCCACTACCCATGTAAAGTGGATTCATATATTCTGTTTATGTAAGCCTTAATGACTGTCATTTGTGCAGTATGTTGCTATAATTACATTTTCCCCGTTGTGTAGTACACCTGGCATCACCTTTCACATTTTTGTTGCCTGTATTTGTCTGCACTTGGTGTTTACAGTCTGTGATTGTTTGCATGAAAAATCATTGTATATCATATGATATGCGCCTTCTCTCCTCTTACATCTGTTACATAGCTCATAGCAACACTTTGACTAATTCAGTTTAACGCACCTTGTTATTAATGTCACTGTATTGCTTCCCATTTTCTAACTTCTTTCATCCACTCACTGTTTATTTTGTTATCTCACCATGTGCTTATTTTGCTTCCCACTGACTAAACCAACACTTTCTCAGTGGCTTCACCGGTCAGCTCTTGCTAAAATGTGTGTGCCATATCTTGGTCCTTCATCTCTGTGTCCTTGTCTGGAATGCAGTAGTCACATGGCTGGTTGTGTAACAACACTTTCTAGAGAAGATATCTGCTGGCTCACTACAAGGTAACACCATACTTGCTTCTGTATTGTATGTCTCATCTACCACTGCATTGAGGGCTTGAGCAGAGTGCCATGGAGGATGTCATTTTCTGTAGCTAATGTGCAGATACGTTATTAAGGCGTCATTGCATGCTGCAAGGAACATGGGGATTCAATTATCTACTTGGTGATGGAGACATCAAGACATATCTATAGTTTAGTAGATGCTGAACAAATGCCAGATGTTTGTTTAACCTTTGCTGTCGAAATCCATGAAAATCTTATTATTTTTTATTATTATGAAAGTTATTGGATAGATGCAGGAAATATCTTGCAATCTAACAGCAAATGGGTCCTTTACATAGAGCTTAATTAATGTACTTTATACCTGTATTGATGAATAAAGAAATCTTCACGTACTGTCGCATATTATAAGTGTGTGTGTGTGTGTGTGTGTGTGTATATGACTGTATATAAAAAATCTGTGTGTATACACACTATAGTGGGAGAAGTTTGTCGACATCTAAACATCAGCCCTATATGGTATTGTTCAAATACTATATGCACATGTAGTACTGTCGCATATTATAAGTGTGTGTGTATGTATGACTGTATATAAAAATGTGTGTGTATACACACTATGTTGGGAGAAGTTTGTCGACATCTAAACATCAGCCCTATATGGTATTGTTCAAATACTATATGCACATGGAGTTGGAATATGGTGTTGCCCCCCACCCCTTTTCAGAGCATGTTGATAGGAATTTGTGCCCATTCAGCCAAAAGAGCACTTATGAGGTCAGGTACTCATATTGGACAAGAAGACATGGTGCACAATCAGTGTTCCAATTGATCTAAAACATATTTAGTAGGGTTGAGGTCACGGCCAATTCACGTTATCCCTACTTAAAGTCAAAATAAGGATTAAAAAAATCCTTTCTATGGCAGAAGAGACTGCAAGTCTTTTCCGCCATAAAAGATTCTTTCTACTATTCACCCGTTTTTTTTCTTTCTTCTGTATGCGGAGTTGCGCATGTGCAGCTCAGTGCACAGACCTGTCATGCCAAGATAAAGTAACTCCTGTGCACATGTGCATGAGTTACGTTATCAGGGCCTGGTCAATCAAGCAGCCAACACTCAAAACCTGAAAGAAGACCAGGGGAGAAGTGCATCACTGGATGAAATCAGTTCAACATGTATGTATGCTGTGCAAACTAGAGCTCCTGGAGGCACTTTTTCTTATTTTTTTGAATTGCTTTATTTTTGGACCTGGCTTTGTGCACAGGGCCACTGTAATGCAGAAACAGAAAATGGCCTTCCCCAAACTGTTGCCACAAGGTTGGTGGTAAGCGATTGTCTAAAATGTATTTGTATTCTGTAGCATTGACTCTTCCCTTTACTTGAACTCAATAGTTTGAAGGGGTATTCACATAATTTTGGCCGTCAAGTGTATTTACACACAGAAACATGTTTGGACTTCTTCAAGTCTTAATCTCTACATGAAATTCTAGTAACAATTAGGACAGACAATGCATAGAAATGTCCCTTTTTGACATTAAAATAGGCATCAATTACTGTGCATCTTCTGGTGTTTTGCACCAACATGTTGCTTGGGCTGTGCGCTCTTATAAATCAGCCTTTGTCTTGCACAGCATGGGTAGGTGTGACTGTGAATGCTAATCTCTCTTCTCTCTATGAGATTTGTACTGTTTTTCCTACTGTTAATTTGTTTTGTAGGGACACAGCTGGCCAAGAGCGATTCAACAGCATTACCTCGGCTTATTACAGAAGTGCCAAGGGAATCGTATTAGTGTATGATATTACCAAGAAAGAGACCTTTAATGATTTACCAAAATGGATGAAGATGATTGATAAGGTAGGCTACTTTACATCAGTGGACAAATGTGTTCCATAGCCCCAGACCAATTAGAACTGATCCCATGCATCATGGAGATAATGGGATTGTTTGCACTTTGTTTTGTTTGCTAGGTCCTATTTTATGGCAGCATTGCAGGTCTGATTCCAACATGTATTATACTTTTAGAAACACTTATAAAAATAGTTTTAAATTATATTCTTTATCAATACCAGGGAAACATGCTTTTGTGAACTGTAGGACTCATTCATGTGGGGAAAAGGGGTCCGGGTGCAGATCCCAGTGACAAGAATCTGTGGATACTTACAGCAGGCATCTCAAGTGGTTCCAGATAGCTGCGGACCACTCTGCCTGTACAAAGCAACGACAGGCTGAGAGTGGCCGCAGTTGTCCGCTGGTGTTCTAATGTAATTGGCCATGGAGCAATTACCTGTTGTTATTGACAAGTGATCATCCCTGAATGCAAGCTGTTTGCATCCAGGCGCAATCATCTGTCCCTAACCACAGATAATTGTCACTTGTGCGATTACATCTACACACTGGTGGACAACTGCAGCCACTCGCAGCCTGTCATTGTTTTGTACAGGTTAAGCGGCCGCAGCTATCTGGAACCACTTGTGATGCCTGCCACAGCAAACCGCAGCCAGAATTTTTTTTTTTTCATATGTGAATGAGGCCAAATACTTTTGATTCCATTTTTGTTCTTGTATGCTGATGCTGCCCCTTACGTCTGCTACCCCTAATCATAGAGTGCACAGGTTACAAATGTATTTTGAGCTATTGTGCATTATATATCAGTCTCCTTTCCAGCAAACTGTCATGTCCCAATGCACGTTACTTATCCGGATTATGGCAAATGGCAAAGGTTTCTTGGCAAATGTGCCATCCTGTACCTACCGCAGCCATGTTTGTAGACATATTACCAATAAATGTTCTTCCAAAGTGTAATGAAAATTTCACCCCCTAAGTTTCTTTATGGGGTTTTTGTGCATTTCAAAATATGGGCCCCCTGCTGCCATATTATACGCTTCCTTGTATGAAGCATCTGTATTCAGCATGAAAATGGACATTAGGGAGGTTTTTTGTTTAGATTTCCACACAAAGTTATTTCCAGGCAGGATCCACTTTGACAGTAATATTCCCCTTTAGAATGGGCTGGCAACATGGACTCTAGGCTAAATATCATTAGTGAGGAGAAAAAAGACCAATAAAATAAAAGGATGAGAGTGTCTGTGCCAGTTCCCTTATACAAAAAAAGACTAAAAAAATGTTTTTTTTAAAATCTCTGCCATTCATAATATGTTGTAAAAATAATTCCATTTGTTTTATCCAGTACGCCTCTGAAGATGCAGAACTTCTTTTAGTTGGAAATAAGCTGGATTGTGAAACCAACAGAGAAATAACCCGGCAGCAGGGAGAAAAGGTAAACGGCAAAGAGGAACCCAATGGAATGAATAAAAACCTATGTATAAAAACGATTCATATCCATACTAAGCATTCCATTAGATCACACACATTTTCATTGCATTGCATGGTAAATTGCAGGATGATGAGTATATACCACAGTCATATATATATAACCTGAATCCAATGATTTGGAGGGATGTCCCAATACTTTTGGCAATATAGTGCATATATATACATATATATATATATAGCAAAAGTTATTACTTTATAGATTTCTTTTAGATTGATAGATGACTGTTGGTTGTGATGAATACACATTGTATGGGATATATATTGCTGCAGGCCAGGTTATAAATGTGCACCCAGTTCTCTCTTGGTGTCTGAAAGAGACAAGAAAAGCTTGGCACAGCACAGCCTCAGCTACGATCAGTTATGCTCTGCATGCTGAATCTGTGTCCAGAAAAAGACCTTTCAGCAATCCATTTAACTCCTAATGAAATACTGCCAACATCTGTGGGTACCTGCCATCCACAACGTCTTCACCAACAATATGCTGGAAATTGCCTGTCTGTAGTAAGAATCTGGGCCAGCAAAGCCTGTTCTAGATCACTAGCTTGTAGTGAGAGACCTCATAAATCTGTAGATTTTAAAAAATTTCATTTTGGCTTTTTCAACTCGCTAAGTGTAGGCAATATGTGTAAATATGGGGCTGACAACTTATATTGGAGGCTAGTGCAAGTTCTGGAGCTGCATTGCAGCTAGCAGACTGTGTAATTCAGACCATGAAGATAAGTGCTTTGTACGCCATCCACCCACTTGTCCCCGAACACTGAGTCCTCCAATGCTCCTTAACTACCTCCGGGCCGGCCGTAGTAAAAAAACGGCGTCAGGCACGCGCGAGCGGGAAATGGCCGGTATTTAAAAACGGGCAGCGATGCCCGTTAGTATACATGCGATCCGCCGGCTGTAGAGCCGGCCGATCGCATGTATGGGGTGCCGATCGGGTGTCCCCCCC